TTTTATTTACCTCTAATTACATTTGTGGACATTGGTCTCTGTTTGATTCTCTGATCTGTGTTGGTGAATCAACAGCTTTATAAAGACTCAGCCACTGAGTAGAAATACTGTTGGTCTCTCCCTCTCTGGTTTCTCTCGCTGATCTCTTTCAAGTCTCTCTCAAGTCTCTCTCTGGTCTTTTTCTCTGGTCTCTCTCTCGCTGGTCTCTCTCTCTGGCCTCTCTCTTCCTGGTGTCTCTCTCTCTCTGGTCTCTCTTTCTCTGGTCTCTTTTTCTGGTCTCTCTCTGGTCTCTCTCTTTCTGGTCTCTCTCTCTCTGGTCTCTCTTTCTCTGGTCTCTCTCTCTGGTCTCTCTCTCTGGTATCTCTCTCTGGTCGCTCTCTCCGGGTGTCTCTTTCTGGTCTCTTTCTCTCTGGTCTCTCTCTTTCTGGTCTCTTTCTCTCTGGTCTCTCTCATTCTGGTCTCTTTCTCTCTGGTCTCTCTCTGTTCTCTCTCTCAGGTCTCTCTCTGGTCTCTCTCTCTGGTCTCTCTCTGGTCTCTCTCTCTGGTCTCTCTCTGGTAGCAGTCGCAGATTAGCCTCTTTAAACAATATCAACATTTTATTTCACAACAGACGTATTTTCTAATCTTAACACAAACTTCGCGGAAACCACAAAAGCCACTTGTAATTTAACCAAGTCAAGTCGCTCTCTGGTCTGGACCATGTTACGCAGACAAAACACCATTTGGACCCGAGGAGCCAGACCCACATTCAACACGGCCTCTTGGAACGACCGTGAAATGCAATTTAAATGACAAAACGTCTGAAAATGACCCAAAAACGTAGTGATTTTACAAAACAGCTTCACTGAACTTGAAATAATATGACTTTAAAACTCCGCCAGCTTGAGCCTTCTGGTCCCAAGCGCCATGTTTAAAGTGTAATTCGATCTTAAGTGCTTTGTAACAACTTGTAAATCAATTTGGAGCTGGTTGACTAAACTCTCTTTGACTTTGCCCACAGACGCTTTGACACACACAGACTGCTGCTTTCTCCATTTCACCAATTCTCCAATTCTTCAATTCTCAGATTCTCCATGGGAAACCAGTGCCCAGGACCAGTCTGCGAGGACAGCATCACAATACTGAATTTAAGGAAGATAGACACTGGAAAAAGTTAGGAAAAATATGTCAAAAATAGCTCAAATTTTGCAAAATGTATCTTCACCATTTAGGTTAAAAATATACAAATGGATACAATACAAATCTATGTATGTATGTATGTATCTATTTGTCGGTACAGTATCTATCTATCTAAGTGTGTACGTATGCATCTATGTATGTATGTGTCTATGTATCTATCTATCTAGATATGTATGTATCTATCTAAGTATGTATTTACAGTAGCTATCTGAGTATGTGTATGTATGTATAAGTAAGTAAGTAAGTAAGCTTTATTTATATACCGCCTTTCACAGACCAGAGTCACAAAGCGGTTTACAATTGTCATTATTTTTGGGCATTGGTCCACTCACTCCACACAGAGATGGGAGCGGGGTCGCCGAACAGTAGGCACATGCCAGAACTATTGTACATGTTTTTAGTGGTAACCCGGCCCTGGTCCGGCCGGGTTTCGAACCCAGGACCTTCTTGCTGAGAGGCAAGAGTGCTATCCACTCAGCCACCATACTATGTATGGATGTATTCACAGTATGTATGTATGTATCTACATATCTATCTATCTATCTATCTTTCAAAATATGTATGTATGTATGTATCTATCTATCTTTCAAAATATGTATGTATGTATGTATCTATCTATCTTTCAAAATATGTATGTATGTATGTATCTATCTATCTTTCAAAATATGTATGTATGTATGTATCTACATATCTATCTAGCTATCTGAATATGTATGTATGTATGTATTTATGTACAGTATGTATGTATGACTGTACATACATACTGGCAGTCCAGGGGGGAGCCACCTTAACGTGGTGGGGGAGTTTGAGTACTCGGATGATCCTGGGAGCTATGCTGTCTGGGGCTTCATGCCCCTGGTAGGGCCTCCCATGGCAGACAGGTCTCAGGTGACGAGTCAGACAAAGAGCAGTCCAGAAGACACCATGGACAGCACAAATACAAAATCAGTGACGTCGCCCGGCATGGCGCAGCCGGGGCCCCACCCTGGAGCCAGGCCTGGGGTCGGGGCTCGTATGCGAGCGCCTGGTGGCCGGGCCTTAGCCCACGGGGCCCGGCCGGGCTCAGCCCGAATGGACGACGTGGGCAGTCCCTCCTGTGGGCCCACCACCCGCAGAGGGGTCCGTGGTGGCGAAGCGGTGCAGAGAGGACTGGGCAGCGGTCGAAGGCGGAGATCTCGGCGACCCAGTCCGCACACACAACAGCTGGCTCTTGGGACGTGAAACGTCACCTCACTGGGGGGGAAGGAGCCCGAGCTTGTGGGGGAGGTCGAGAGGTACCGACTAGAGATAGTCGGCCTCACCTCCACACACAGCTTTCAACTCACACCTCCGGGAGAGTTTCTCCCAGGTCCCGGCGGAGGAGGGGGACATGGAGTCCGAGTGGACCATGTTCTCTGCCTCAATCGCCGATGCGGCGGCTCGTAGCTGTGGTCGCAAGGTCTCTGGTGCTGGTCCCGGCGGCAACCCCCGAACCCGGTGGTGGACACCGGCAGTAAGGGATGCTGTCAGGCTGAAGAAGGAGTCCTATCGAGCCATGATGGTTCGGGGGACTCCTGAGGCAGCTGTCCAGTACCGGCAGGCCAAGCATGCCGCGGCCCGGGCTGTTGCAGAGGCAAAAACCCGGGACTGGGAGGAGTTCGGAGAGTCCATGGAGCATGACTATCGGTCGGCCTCAAAGAGATTCTGGCAAACCATCCGGCGCCTCAAGAGGGGGAATACTTTGAGGTTCTCCTCAATCCCCCCGTCACGTCCTCTGTTACAGAGGCAGAGGCTGAGGATGTTGGGGCGGATACATCCATCTCCCTGGCTGAGGTCACCAAGGTGGTTGGTAGCCTCCATGGTGGCAAGGCTCCGGGTGTGGATGAGATCCGCCCTGATTATCTAAAGTCTCTGGATGTTGTAGGACTGTCTTGGCTGACACGTCTCTGCAACATCGCGTGGCGATCGGGGGCAGTGCCAATGGAGTGGCAGACCGGGGTGGTGGTCCCTCTCTACAAGAAGGGGGACCGGAGGGTGTGTTCCAATTATCGTGGGATCACACTCCTCAGCCTCCCCGGTAAGGTCTACTCGAAGGTACTGGAGAGGAGGCTACGGCCGATGGTCGAATCTCGGATCCAGGAGGGGCAGTGTGGTTTTCGTCCCGGTCGCGGAACACTGGACCAGCTCTATACTCTCCATCGGATACTCGAGGTTTCATGGGAGTTTGCCCAACCTGTCCACATGTGCTTTGTGGATTTGGAGAAGGCGTTCGACTGTGTTCCCCGGGGTGTCCTTTGGGGGGTTCTCCGGGAGTACGGGGTCGGAGGTCCTCTGCTGAGGGCCATCCGATCCCTGTATGACCGGAGCCAGAGCTGTGTTCGCATTGCCGGCAGTAAGTCAGACCTGTTCCCGGTGAATGTTAGCCTCCGACAGGGCTGCCCTTTGTCACCGGTTCTGTTCACTGTATTTATGGACAGAATATCTAGGCGCAGCCAGGGGTCGGAGGGGGTTCGGAGACCACAGGATTTCATCTCTGCTGTTTGCGGACGATGTTGTCCTGCTGGCTCCAACGAACCAGGACCTGCAGCATGCACTGGGGCGGTTTGCAGCCGAGTGTGAAGCGGCTGGGATGAGAATCAGCACCTCCAAATCCGAGGCCATGGTGCTCGACCGGAAAAAGGTGCCTTGCCCTCTGCAGGTGGGTGGAGAGGTCCTTCCTCAAGTGGAGGAGTTCAAGTATCTCGGGGTCTTGTTCACGAGTGAGGGAAGAATGGAGCGTGAGATTGACAGGCGGATCGGTGCAGTGTGCGCAGTGATGCGGTCGCTGCGGTTGTGGTAAAGAGGGAGCTGAGCCGAAAGGCAAAGCTCTCGATTTACCGGTCAATCTTCGTTCCCTCCCTCACCTATGGTCATGAGCTTTGGGTAATGACCGAAAGAACGAGATCGCGGATACAAGCGGTCGAAATGAGCTTCCTCCGCAGAGTGGCTGGGCGCTCCCTTAGAGATAGGGTGAGGAGCTCAGTCACACGGGAGGAGCTCGGAGTAGAGCCGCTGCTTCTCCACGTTGAGAGGAACCAGTTGAGGTGGCTCGGGCATCTGTTCCGGATGCCTCCTGGACGCCTCCCTGGGGAGGTGTTCCGGGCACGTCCCACCGGGAGGAGGCCCCGCGGAAGACCTAGGACACGCTGGAGGGACTATGTCTCTCGGCTGGCCTGGGAACGCCTTGGGGTCCCCCCGGACGAGCTGGAGGAAGTGTGTGTGGATAGGGAAGTCTGGGCGTCTCTGCTTAGACTGCTGCCCCCGCGACCCGGCAACGGATAAAGCGGAAGAAAATGGATGGATGGATGGATGTATGTATGAATGTGTATGTATGTATTTAGCTATGTATGAATGTGTATGTATGTATTTAGCTATGTATGAATGTGTATGTATGTATTTAGCTATGTATGAATGTGTATGTATGTATCTATCTATGTAAGTGTGTATGTATGTATCTATCTATCTAAGTGTGTATGTATGTATCTATCTATCTAAGTGTGTATGTATGTATCTATCTATCTAAGTGTGTATGTATCTAAGTATGTATGTATGTATCTGTGTATGTATGTATGTATGTATGTATGTATGTATGTATGTATCTGTGTATGTATCTATGTATGTATGTATGTATCTTTGTATGTATGTATGTATGTATGTATCTGTGTATGTATGTATGTATGTATGTATGTATGTATGTATGTATGTATGTCTGTAGGTATGTTTGTATGTATGTATGTATGTATGTATGTATGTATGTATGTATGTACGTATCTATCTATCTATCTCTGTGGCAGATGTAAGTTTTATTTCTTCTCTGTAAACACATATTGTAGAATGCTCGGATGGAAAGCCGCTGACATCTGTGAGTTTGACATCTCACTCTCCGTCTGCACCATGAACAATCTTTTTCCTTCTCCCTCAGCGCCGCAGAACAATCCCCTTTGAGCGGCCGAGCGGGGACAGGACGCCCATATAAGGGAGCGCGGAGAAAGGTGGGAGGGGCCCCGGTCTTTACACCCCACGTATCTGGAGAGAACGAATTGCTTTGGAACGGCCTGAGAAAGCGTTTTGTGATGTCTGGAGCTCTCATGTGACCGAACCCAGCTCCACGCCTCTGTCTTTGAGCCCGCGACGTTAGCTTGGCCTGGGCTCATCTGTCATCCACGCCGCCGCCAAAAAACTCTTTAGCCAATTTAAGAGTGAAATGGGCTCTATATGGGCTCTATGGGCCCGGCTCCTCCCTCTGCCTCCACCTCTGCCACGGCACCTGTTAGCATTCTGAGGGTAAAGTCTGCTTTTGCTTGGACCAAAACAAGCAATTTATGAACCGAGAAAGGCCTCGTCCTGTGGGTGTCACTTAGATGCAAATACTAGTGTGGAATCTGACCTACGTGTTTTAGACTTTGGACCTCCATACTGCAATGAAATGATTCAATATTAGGTAAATTGTTTTAGTTTTTTATCTTAGTTTGAGTACATTCATGGAACCTAGCTTTTGTTTGTGATGGAACTTAGCTTTTTGTTATTCTATCTTAAGGATAACTAAATTGTATGGCTGAACATGAGCAGCTTTTCTGTTTGTTTTTGTAAATAGTGGTATTTACTAAGAGCTTTAGCTTCTGCCTTATCCATTTCAGACATATTGTTTAAACATGATCTATTTTCATGTAATTAATGTTAAAATCCATCCATCCATCCATTTTCTTCCCCTTAATCCATTTCTGGGTCGGGGGGTAGCAGTCTGAGCTGCACCCAGTACACAGAGCACCAGCCCCTCTCTGATCCTCCTGCAGGTGGGGGGTCCACAGGAGCTGAGATCTTTCAGTGGGGGCTTCAGTAATGTTCAGATATCTGAATAAATCAAATCTGAATCTGAAAAACATTCCTACCGTGTAACCGTTTTTCTCATTCACTTTGGTGCATTTCTCACATCAGACTTAAAGTTCTCAAAACTATTAGTTCAACCTCCTCAACATTGAGTCATGTGTGACATCATCGCAGCAGTCTCTCCTTTGAACAGATTACAAACGCTTTCGGACATGAATCAGTTACTTTCATACAATTCTCTGCTGTTTTAAAACATTATCATTTGCTTCTGTCCTGTCAAAATGAAACATACTTATGAAGCTGATTAGTCAGTCCTTATAAAACCTATAGTCCTAATTTCATCGCTTTAGTCACCACATACAAAACTGTTAAACTAGTTCAAAATCAAAATCTGTCAACCTCATTTCATACATTCCTTTATTTTTTTTCCCTGAAAATCTTTCCTAAATTGAACAATTTCTCTCAGGTGAATTTCATCTTCACTCATGAGGAGGTGTGTGTTACAGTATATTGTTTACCTTTGTTTTACCATCATGATATTCTGTATGTTTGTTCTATGTATACAGGTATACATGTATGTGAATGTATTTTTGTTGCACAATGCTGTAGAATGGCAAAGAGCAAATGCAGTAAATATGTGACATACGTACAGTATGTGTATTGTACTCAGTTACCTCACTAAATACAGTCATGTGTAACTTCACTGTAGTTTTGGGCTGTACAGGTTGTGTTTAGTGCTCACGACGTGTCACCAACATCGGCCTTTTTTACATTGAAAACAGAGAGAGAGTAAAGTGTCACAATGAAAACACAGAGAGTAAAGTGTCACGATGAAAACACAGAGAGTAAAGTGTCACAATGAAAACACAGAGAGTAAAGTGTCACGATGAAAACACAGAGAGTAAAGTGTCACAATGAAAACACAGAGAGTAAAGTGTCACGATGAAAACACAGAGAGTAAAGCGTCACAATGAAAACACAGAGAGTAAAGCGTCACAATGAAAACACAGAGAGTAAAGTGTCACAATGAAAACACAGAGAGTAAAGCGTCACAATGAAAACACAGAGAGTAAAGTGTCACAATGAAAACACAGAGAGTAAAGTGTCACGATGAATACACAGAGAGTAAAGCGTCACAATGAAAACACAGAGAGTAAAGCGTCACAATGAAAACACAGAGAGTAAAGTGTCACAATGAAAACACAGAGAGTAAAGTGTCACAATGAAAACACAGAGAGTAAAGTGTCACGATGAAAACACAGAGAGTAAAGCGTCACAATGAAAACACAGAGAGTAAAGTGTCACAATGAAAACACAGAGAGTAAAGTGTCACAATGAAAACACAGAGAGTAAAGTGTCACGATGAAAACACAGAGAGTAAAGCGTCACAATGAAAACACAGAGAGTAAAGCGTCACAATGAAAACACAGAGAGTAAAGTGTCACAATGAAAACACAGAGAGTAAAGTGTCACAATGAAAACACAGAGAGTAAAGTGTCACGATGAAAACACAGAGAGTAAAGTGTCACGATGAAAACACAGAGAGTAAAGTGTCACAATGAAAACACAGAGAGTAAAGTGTCACAATGAAAACACAGAGAGTAAAGCGTCACAATGAAAACACAGAGAGTAAAGCGTCACAATGAAAACACAGAGAGTAAAGTGTCACAATGAAAACACAGAGAGTAAAGTGTCACAATGAAAACACAGAGAGTAAAGTGTCACGATGAAAACACAGAGAGTAAAGTGTCACAATGAAAACACAGAGAGTAAAGTGTCACAATGAAAACACAGAGAGTAAAGTGTCACAATGAAAACATGACTAAACCATTTGACTGTTGTTCATAAACACTGGTGTCAGGACTTTTTCTTTTGAGACACAGACAGTTTCATTGACATGGAGACTGGCTTTTGAGGAATTAACTTTTCATTTTGCGAGTGTGACGCACTTTTGCAGGTTTACCACAAGGTTTTGCAGTTTGCACTAATGGTTCTGAAAAATGCACTAACCGTTGTGCAAATGTGAAGAATGATGTGAGAAATGCACCAAAGACACTGAGAAAAACTGTAAAAACAAGACATACATCAGGAAACACAACATCCATAAATCAAGAACACAGCAGTCACCTTTTACTTTTTCACAATTTTGTCGATGAAAAGCAAAAACAAACACAACAGCCCATCACGTCCATCACTTGTGGAGAACCGGAGCGCCTGGAGGAAAACCACCCAGACATGACACAAGATCAATATAACAGGAAATTTTAAACTAGGAAACTCTAGTATTTTGAATAAGGTAAAGTTAGATTTAGTTTGAGCTTTTAATGAAACACACACAAGAATCTTACCGCCCTCTGCTGACGGGACACGGATTTGTATTTGTTTGTTTTTCTGGTTTGTCGCTCTCTCCTTTATTTTTCTCCTGCTTCTGTCTCATCCCTCGGCCTCTGCTCCTCGGGCCTGACGACTTGTAAATGTTTAAACACACAATCCTCCTGCTCCCAGCGCCTGTCCTGCTCGCTCTCCTCAGAATAATTATCAAAGAGTTCATTTGCAAAGACAAACCTCTTAAATAATTCAGCAAAAAGAGGAAGTGAAATATGACCTCTGCATTTGACCCATGGTTCCAAACGCCACTGGAACAAGCAGTCGGGAGCAGAGAGGGTGATCAGCTAAAGTCTCGGTCCAAAGCTAGTTCTAAAAACCAGGGGTCTCCAACCAGAAGCTCGCCAGACCACTTTGAGGTAGCTCCCCAAAGAATTTAGATTCACTTTTGAGTCAGTACATCTATCATAAGTGTAAACATTGGGTTATACAGTATTATGGTATATTTTACGTCTGTTTTCCATGTTTTGTCTTCATTATTACATACATTTTTATTATGACAGCAAAAAGAAGTAGCTCTCTGCCTCTGCTGTTGTACAAAAGAAGCTCTCCGATAGAAATGTTTGTTGTTGAGTTTTTGCCTTTAGATTTGAAATAGAATGTCATAATTACAAAAAATATCACATGGCAACAGCTATAATGCAAAGAAAGGATTACATAAATAATACTGATAGTAATAATAATAATAATATATTTTTTTAAAAGTACTTATGTAAATATGCTTTATACTCACAATCCTCCTTCTCTATCTGTCTTTGCTCCATTCATTCAGTTCTCAAACGGCGGCCATCTTGGAACCTCCATTCATAAATCTGAGACCAGAGATACTGCAAAAAATGATAACCTCTGAGGTAAAAATGGCTGTTTTCTATCTCTGACACATTCTGACTGTGTTAAAACATTCATTTCAAAGGAGAAATTTGCGTATTTTTATAAAACAAGATCATTTTGCTCTTTGTCCCACATCTTGTTCTGCATAGTTGTGACAGGACGTTTGACCCATGGTTCCAAGCACCACTGGAACAAGTCAGTCCAAAACTCCTATCATAACTATGCAGACGACACTCAGATCTATGTGTCACTGACTGCAGGAGAACATGGACCAGTGGACTCACTCCTTCACTGTATCCAACAGATCAGTGAGTGGATGCAAAACAACTTCCTTCAGCTAAACGCAGACAAAACTGAAATGATTGTCTTTGGTCCCCAGAAACAAAGAGAGAGCGTCATCTGTCATCTACAGTCTCTCTCCCTAAAACCTTCAAACAAGGTCAGAAATCTAGGGGTAATACTGGACTCAGACTTACATTTTAATAGCCACATCAAATCAGTAACATCAGCAGCTTTTTACCGTCTAAAAAACATTGCCAGGATCAAAAACATATTGTCTAAAGCAGACCTGGAGATTCTTATCCATGCATTTGTCTCCAGTAGGTTAGACTACTGCAATGGCCTGCTCACAGGTCTGTCTAAACAGGCTGTAAAACATCTGCAGTACATTCAAAATGCAGCAGCTCGAGTCCTGACTAGAACCAGGAAGTACGACCACATTAGTCCAGTTCTCAGGTCTCTGCACTGGCTTCCTGTGGCTCAGAGAATAGACTTTAAAACAGCTCTGCTTGTTACAAGTCTCTCCATGGCCTCGCACCAAAATATATTAGTGACATGTTAGTCCCATATGAACCAGCCCGGACTCTGAGGAGCACAGGGACTGGACTCCTGTTAGTGCCCAGAGTCAGAACTAAACATGGGGAGGCTGCTTTTCAGATTCATGCTGCTAAAATCTGGAACAGTCTTCCTGAAGATGTGAGACAGGCCTCCTCTCTGACAAGGTTAAAGACGGTTCTGTTTAGCTATGCATACAACTGAGGGATTTTATATTTTTATCTTTCTTTTTAATGTACTGTGATTATTTTGTTCAGCACTTTGAGTTGCCTTGTGT